CCAAATCAGATAATTGTCGTGAAATCAAAAAGTATATTTTCGCAATTCCTCACCATGAAATCCAATCCCAGAAGAGTCTCATAAATTATAAGCAAAACAAATCTGCTACCGCCGTCAGCGTGAGACTTCAGAATCAACTCCGTTACCTTATGTCCTGACCAACTTCTGGAGCTCTGAGAATACGAACAGATTTTTCTTCATTACCCTAAAATCAAAGAGCATATAAAAAGCAACCTAAGTGGTAACAAATGACCAAATAAAATTACGTAACTACGCAAGGCAAAAGTCGGTCAGTCGGTGAGACAGCTAGTCATTCACTCAATCAGATAAGCAGCCGGTTAATAAATAATTAAATCAGTCAAGTCAAATATTCAATCAGTCAGTCAGTAAGGCAGTCTTCACTCAGTTAATCTGTCAGCAAGGAAGTCAGTTACTAAAACATTGTCGCTCAATCACTCAATCAGTAGGTATTTCAGTGAGTACAACAATCGGTCAGTCAAGCAGACAATGAGACATTTAATTAAACAGCGCATTTAATCAGAGAGTCAGTCAACGACCAATCATTCATTCAGTCACATGGACAATAAGTCAGTCAGTCAGTCATCATTCAGCCAACCAGACAGTTTATCGCTCAGTTCGTCCGTCCGTCAATAACGTAATCAGATGGACAATTACAAGGGAAAGAAACTATTACGCAGTTAGCTAAACATACAGCCAGTTAATACCTCACAGAGTAGACAGCCCGTTACACAGTCGATAAAATCAACTAAAGAAATTTACTTCGGACTGGATCAGTTCTGTATCCTCCACTTGAACCACTGCATTGCAATTTACCGGAACGACTGCTCCTGTACTGAGGCGCACACAAGTCATAGGCTCTAGCACAAAAGATGCCTGCAAAACCAAAAAAATCATCTAGCAACAAAAGTTTACACCCATAAAATACGAGCATTATTCGCCTGAGAAAGTAAACCATAATATACGTCAAGCTCAGATCACATTAACAAGTTATTTAAAAAGTTTTATAAATAGACTAACTGGCTTCCTCATTTGAAGATAAAACATAGACATTGATTTTCTCCTTGTCAAAGCTTCGGATTTAGCAGTTTGCTGGCAAACCGATACTAATAGGGCTTATTTTTAGTACAGACAGTGATTAATTTCGTGTTTTGAAGACAACTCAAGGAATCACTAAATATGTATCGATAAATCTGCTCCTACTTTACCAAAAACAGTTATAAGAAACGCATTTTATGATTCATTCCCTTGAAGTATTCAGATCGAAATGACAAATGACTAGTTCCCGAACTCTCGTTGAATATCACAAAATTTACATAAACAGAAATTGTAACTCAGATTTCTACCTCATCACCGGCATTTTGGGAAGAGACCACTTTTCGGACACCATCTGCGTCTTCGGCTAAAATAAAAGACTACTGAGATGAGCGCAAACACCATATGCAATTCGAACTACCGAGAACGGCATAGCCATCTTTTATCGAAGCCCGGAAAGCAGGGACTGGCTCGTCAGTGAATACGTCTTCCGCGCACACGAACCCCAAACAGTTCGTCAAATTTTTGGCTTCGATTTTAGTGCTGTGGCAGTGTTTAAAAATTGTCTCTACAGCTTCTCTGATCGACAGCAAAGGATACACTGACTTTCGTGGACGCTGTGCCACCTCAATTTTGACGGCACCTGAAAGGCAATCGAAGCAAATATTTAAAGTGTATTGACGATACAACTGTAATAGCACTGATTATATTCTAACGAAATTTTTGGTGCAGATGAACATCACAGCTCAGTCATCCAGTAAGTTAATCACCTTGCTGCCAGTAAAAAGGTACATGGGATATGATCGCAAGCAACGCAGACTTGGCCCACATACAGAAAACCGCCCTATCGACTATCCAACTTTTCCGTAACTCATTCTACACATACGATAATACGTGAATTTAACGCACAGGGGATTTAGCATAGATTTCTCCCAAGATGGTGAACACTGAAACACGTAGGTTTAAATTCCGGTCAGGATCAATGGCCTTGCAATTTTCTGAAGTTAGTACACGTAAATCATGGAGAATGACAAGAGTGTAGCGGACTGCCAATTCGACTTGTCACACAGACACAAACACAGCCATAAATAATTAACTTTTGAGCAGTGACACCAAAATTTAGATCAGCACTGTCAATGATGGTAAAAACGGAATCTCACGGAAATACCAGAATTATCAATTTCCCAACGAATACAAACTTCTTTCCTTTGCTTCCTCTT